CCCTTCCCAGCCAGCTAGCCAAATTGCCTTAAACCCCAGAAGTAAACGTCAAATGCAAAAGCTCTTGGAGGCGCACACCTCAGGCCTCGGCCAGTCCATGTACTCGCCACCAGTGAAACCTTGACAGGAATCAGTGGGCAGCTATCAGAGGTGCCCTGAAGTCTGACTCAGTGCCCAATTAGACACACGGCTGGCTACAAAAACTTCTTCAAGAACTGCCACTTCTCTGGTCCAACCTCTCTGAACTTTAATAGCTGGAGGGACCACCCTAGGTGGAAAACATCTAGAATAGCTTCCTAAAGTGTCTTGAATCTGCGGCTGTGGCTTGTTTTCTGAGCACCACTAGGCTCCTTTAGTAAGATGAAATCTGAACACTTGAGCTCACTCTGGCTCCCAGCAGGAAAGGGGTGGTGTGCTCCAAGAAGTGGTTGAAGACTGGGTGTGCAGGGACCCAAGGCAGCCCCAGGGGGACAAGAAGTGACAGGAAGTGCTCAGAATTCAGGCCTGAGGGTGCGAGTGGACAGGGAGGGCCACTCTAGCACAGCGGTGGGTGGGAAGGACTGCTCTCACCAGAAGCAGAGCCCTGCAGAGCCAGGGTCAGCAGGCCCAGCAGGGGGAGACCCAGCTTCTCAGTGGCCTGCTCCCTGTGACCACCTGTCACCAGGAGGCAGGGTGCTAGGAGCTCAGCCAGGGTCCACTGTGGGGGAGGGCAGCACTGGACCCTGACCCGGCCTGCAAGACTCCTGCCTCTGGTCCTTGGTACCTGGGAGCTGGTGGCGCCTGTCGCCTGCTCTCCTCTGCAGTTCTCTTCTCGATCCACCTCCAGCTGCTCTTCTACGTCCCCCTAGGTCCCCTTTGTTAGAACATGATGCAGTCCTCCTAGCAGGACTTTCATTAGCACAAGTGCTTCCTCCTTTCTTGCTGAGATTTGCTGGTTTCTGTCAATCAAGGCTTTCTCTCCTGGACAAACTCCCTGGCTGCAAGATCTCCTCCTGGTCCAGAGGTGATTTCACCCTCTGTGCATCTGCACGATCCCCTTCTTGACTGGATGCCCTGTCCTTTGTGTCCTGAGTCACAGTGCCCACTTTCCTTGGCAAGTGGAGGGCTTTTAAACTTTACTTGGATGAGAAGAGGCACTTTTGATTAGGGTAGACAGCCTAGTAGGTCCACAGGTGGCTGACAGGGCAGAGCCATCTGCAGACGTGGCCTGTCTCCTGCGGGTGGTGGCGTGGTACTCACAGGCTGCATGGCTGTAACGATGCTTCCTTTTTCTCTCCAGATTCGAAGCCAAAGCAAAGCCTCTGGGGCCGGGCTGTGTGAGGGGGATGAGGTGGTGTCCATCAATGGCAGTGCTTGTGCAGACCTGACCTATCCCGAGGTCATCCAGCTCATGGAGAGCATCACAGACTCCCTGCAGATGCTCGTCAAGAGGTATGCTGGTGGGTGGGACTCCCTGTTCTCCCCTGCAGCTGGATGGGGACCGATGGAGGACTGGGGTGCTTTGTGGGAGGCCAGCACAATGAAGCAGAAAGGCCAGTGTGCTTGAAAAATGGGAATTCTGTTCCACCGAGCTTTTTGATTAATTGAGAATTAACTTGAAAAATCTTTGGTTCAAGCACTTTGTTGAAAATCTGAGGTATTTTATACTGCTTCCTTAGAAAGCTCAGTATGTTGAACATAATTTAATATTTCTTTCCAAGAAAATCTTTTCAGACTTTCTGATGGATCAGGATCACTCTGATTATAATTCCCAGATGAATTTAAAATGTTTACATTGAACCATGGGACTATAAAACATTTCAGAGAAAGAGGATACCTAAGAGAAGCGGGAGAAGCAAGCAGAAAACTTAAAAACCACCAGATTTCTGCTTCTCAAGACCTCCAGTAAAATCAATATTTGGGTATGGTCCAAAGCAGATGATGAAACTTAAGATTTTTAGCTATCAGAGCAAGTCAGTTGTGCATATGGTGTCTCCAAATACCAGTATTCCTTAAAAATGCACAGTAAAAGTTTTAACCATCAAAATTAAAGAACCCTGAGGCCAATCACAAAAACTGTCACATCAAATTTTATAGGGTACAATCATAGGACATTCTGTGCTGATTTTGCAATTGAAGCCATGATCATTATAAGGACTCCAGAAAGGACCCTGGCTTCCCCAGAACGGCCTCTGGGAGATGTCGGGGACCTCCTCACAGGATCCCAGAGCCCTGGAGGTTGTGCCTTAACTCTACACAACAATGGCATAGAGCACCCTCTTCTGCAGTCAATCAGTTCAGTGACATTTCTGTACATACAGGCTCATCACAGCCAAAATATAAATCTAGAATATTCTTAGGACCAGATCTGTATTTGCTCATCAACCTCTGTGTCGAGGCCGTGGACAACACTCATTTATTAAACCTCATTCACTTGTAGAAGGAACCCAGCAGGAATGTGACCAAGTGCTGCCCAAGCTTGCCATCTCCATGTACAAATCTGGGACGTGCCCTGCGACTTCCATCTCTGTCCCTTATATTCAAAACAAGGAACGACCTTTTTCACTCGGTTTCCCTCTGAATGTGTGGCCCCTCCAGGGCCCAGTCACCTGGGCCACACTGGTGCTCGGCCAGTCCACTCCTGATCCCTGTTCTGATTGTGAGGGCCACTGCTGGGAAAGTCCTCGTTGATTCAAAGCTGCTCCTGGGCACGTTTACTTTCAGAAATAGGCAGACTGCTACTTTTAATAACTGGAATTACTGTGATTATTATTTTTCTCTAAAGTATTTTTTAACTTCTTATAAAATACATACTTGATGGAATAAAAAAGGAACTCACATTCAAATCAGCCCAGAGGTAGTCGCCATCATTGCCAGGATCCCTACCACCATCACCACCACCACTGCTACCACCACCACCGTCCCTCTTTCTGTGGTCTGAGCAGTGATTCCTACCTTAACCATTTCTCTCACTCTTGTCTGCCATCTGTCTCTAGCAGACATGTGTTTGACCTTTTCTGTATGTTTGCCCAGAGGTGGCCAGATAAGACTAATTTTAAACACTCCTTTACCATTAAGTCTGTATTATCTTAAATTTCATTAAAATGATAGAATATTTTTAAATGAGTACCTATAACCATGTTGTATAAATTGTGAAATTGGATACCTGTGTAGACTGAAGAAAAATAAGTCATTAAAATTTAACTTCTCCCTCCCTCCTTCAAACTTTTATGATTTTTCTTCATGTATATATATCTTGCTTCAGCTACCAAGAAAGGCTAACATTTATCGGTCCCTGGCCTGGTTCCAGACTCTCAGGCTGGAGGGAATGGAAACCACCTCCTCTCAGCTCCATAGCTGATTGCTAACATCATTCACAGTGACTCAACCTACTTCCATACCAGTCTTTCCTAAATTAAAACTCTCTGGCCCCCTCATATTCCATTTGGTAGAGTATATTCACTATCTCCTGCATAAGGATATAATTTAATATTTTTTATTTTTATTTTTTATTTATTTTTTTTTAAAGAGAGAGAGAGAGAGAGAGAGAGAGAGAGAGAGAGAGAGAGAGAGAGAATTTTTAATATTTATTTTTTAGTTCTCGGCGGACACAACATCTTTGTTGGTATGTGGTGCTGAGGATCGAACCTGGGCCGCACGCATGCCAGGCGAGCGTGCCACCGCTTGAGCCACATCCCCAGCCCCAATTTAATATTTTTTAAAGATTTTTTTTTTAATTCTATATCACCAGGGAACTTTTCAGATTTACTTACATAGAGAACGCTGCATTCTTGTTTTTTTGTTTTGGTCACATTCGAAGTTTGGAGTGCGTGTTTCAAATGGGTGTGACATTGTGCCACACACTAAAGGAAGTCACAGGCAGAATGCCAGGAGCCTCTTCAGCTGATGGCCCTGCACTGTCAGCCTGCATGTTGAGGGAGGCACAGAGGGGCAGGGACAGCTCCTGTGCTACTTGGAGAAACCTCCAAATGTAAGGAATGAAGGCATCGGCAGCAGCTGCCCTGTGAACCACACTTCTCTTCCAAAGCAGTTAGAGTTTCAGAAGGAGGCTGTGTTTAACTCCTGAACTGACATCCCTTCTTCTCACAGACCCAAATTTGCAAAACCGACTGAAAAAGGGTAAGGTCAAAAACTCAGGGCTGCAGAGAGCAGCTTTGGACTCTTAGCTAAGTGGAGGAGGAGGAGCTTAACTTCAGAGATCCTAAAAGGAAAGTGCTGTAAGAGAGGAGCTCAAGTGGAAGGGAATCCATCTCAGATTATAAATACTGGTGACTCAAGGAGGCTTGCTGTGTGTTCTCTTTACACAAGAGTCCTGGGCTGGGTCCACTGATTACCAAACACATATTCCTGAGCTTAGCAAGCAGCTTCTCTGTCATTCCTTTCAAGAAAGCACAGCCTCTAAAAGGGTTCCTTGCATCATCAGTCACTTAAGATGGGTCTGAAATTCTTGCTCCCGTTGGAAAAAAAAAAAAAAAAACAAACATGGTTGTTTGAGAATACCCACCCTATTTCAGATAAAGGGCATTCATATAGCTATTACATATAGCTATATTTTAAAAAATAAAAAATATATGTAGCTATTTATTTTTTAAAAAATAAAAGCCGAATTCAAGGAATTGGGGACGTATTTAGGTTTGAAAATATTTTGCAAGCATTTTTGTTGTGTGTTAAATGAAAGTTTATTGGGGAGCTCTTTGGTGATACGAACGTGTTGGTGGCTTCAGTTTTCAATACGCTGCCGCTGACATTCGGGGGAAGTGCTGGGTCCTAACGGTGTCCTGGACATGCCACTGTCCGGAGTTGCTCCTCAGGCCACGCGCCCCATCTAACTTGGGTTATGTCTTTCTGCACGCAGACCCACCAGTGGAGCCAGTGAGGCTCTGGACTCTGAGCCTGAGAACAAAGCCCTTGAGCACCTCACACTCGAGGGGCACGTGGGAAGCACCTCCCTGCAGATGCCTCCGGCCACCTGGCCCCCGCGCCGAGAGCAGAATGGAGCTCTGGCAGCAGCCGACGGAGGGGCTGTCGCCCGCGGGCGCACGGTGGAGCTGCGGCTGACCCTCGGTCCCCCGCCAGAGCCACCCTCCCTGCGCGCCACCACGGGCCTCGGGGGAGGTCAGCAGCCCCAGGCTCAGTCCCCCGGCCCCTCCCTGGTCCCCTCCGGGAG